TAGACAATAAAAATACTCGCTCCGAAGAATTCGTCAGCATCAGTGAGTACAGCCCGCAAGTTCGTCGTTTGGTGCCCAGGGAAGCGACGCTGGCGTGGTGTACTGCGAGATGCAAGCCAGGCGCAGTGCGACATGGTGAGTCTGAAACATGACTTCGAGTCCGGAACTCCTAGGGGTAATAGTAACAATAATTCGTTGACAGAAAAGTTTGTCAAGGGGTGTCAATCTCTGACATACCACTGACGGGTTGTTGTGAGATCGAACGTCGCTCCGGGACTTCGCGGTTGGGGCAGATTTGTGAAGTTTTGGTTGTTGAAGCCAGAAAACAAAGCCTCTTGATTCATTGTTCATGGCAAGGGGCTTCGGTTCTTGCACCTTGTCAGGGAGAACGAAGCCGGCGACATGTGCGAGCGTGCTATGCGACTGGCGGTGCTGCCTGTCTCCGACGAAGCAGATTCTGATGGGGGGTTTGACAGCTGGCTGGTTCAGGTTTCAGAGACCGGTATGCTTCGGAAGGAGCCCTTCGCCACTTTGCCTGTAGCCAGCGGCAGTATGACTTTCTTCTGCATGCCAGTGCAAAAGATGCAGCAGATCTCTCAACGATCCCTCCACTCTAGGGACTCTAGGGATCGGCTTGTTGGTAGTGCTGCAGACTAAGGGTTGAAGCCCGAATGTCAGCAACGGAGGCTGCAGTGTCTCTGTTGCGGTCATACGTCTGGACAAGAGCCAAGAAGGGCAGAAGTGGAACGAAGTCCGGCATCATCACAGCTTGAATCCCTCAAAGTCCAAAGTCTGGCGATACAGGCAACCAGAGCTGCGCTCGTCTCAGGTATCCCGGTCGCTGCAGCTACAAGTCTGAAACAGGTGGGAGGCTTAAGGACTGATGTTGCACTTGCCTAAAGTTTGCTCCTGTGACCAGCTGCTCCATGCCAGACGTTGGAAAAACACGGTGTTGAAAGGAGCTGCGCGACCTGACTAACAAGACGGTTCAGGACTACCACTCTGCCTACTACAGGTGCTGCATGGGATCTGGGCATAGGCTGCGCAGGTCAGCAGTGGATTGTGGGGGCACCAAGGAGACGAGTCGAGACGCATGTTACCTGTTCAGGGACGCCTGAAGCATCCGTGAGTCAGGGAGTACTTCTGAGCCAGATGACTTCAAAACATGCAGCACGGGTCCAGTCGAGCTTTGTATACCAAGTTCTACGACTTGTCGCCCCGATCTGCACAGGCCGGACAACTTGTGCGTCATCGTCACCGGCCAGGCAGTTGATGGGGTGCAACTTATGAACATCCTTTGATACGATTACAGCGGAAGTTGCCTCGGCTTGTAGAGCGAAGACTCTGTGCCAGGGCCCCCAAGGCCATGTTGGGGAGTGGGTGCGTCAGGAAACCAGATCTTCCCCACTCAACAACATGAGGTTGTACTTAACTAGTCGGTTCAGCCAGTCGCTTCAGCCAGCAGATCTCCGACCTTTGCCCGCCGACTCGATGTACGGTTTGGGAAGTTGGCCTCGTTTCCGTAGATTCGTCAACTCAGTGAACTGGATTCTGATGAGCAGGACTTCGGAAAGCAACGGCCGATGGAATCATGTCTACACGCACACAGAGACGTTGTTAATTGACTGTATCTTTGATCCTACTATAGACTGTTCCAAACTCGTGTTGGTCACCTCCCACCAGACCAACATGAGCATGCTTGGGCCTGGGGAACCGGGGTTTAGGGGGTCGAAAACGAACCCGGATTCGCCCTTCCTTCGCCGCAGGTGGATTTCAAAGATCTCTGCCAGGCCCGAAATGATTATGTGCAAAGCTCCAGAGGTGTCAAGAGGGCACCCCCTCCCTGACAAGCTGCGCATTGCGATCCGCTGTACATGAGCAGAGAGAGACCCGAGCAACCAGAAAAAGTGCTCTGGAGCTGCGGAAGATTTAGACTTTCCGGCAGGCCTGCCAACCAACGGTGGCTTCCATCATGGCATCCGAGCGGATGCCTGACGCAGATCGTACCAGTCGCTTTCCTCAGGACTCGCATGTCGGACTTACACTGTGGAGGTAGCTGCTTCACGACAGCGACCACCACGAAAGTACTTCTACTTTACTTTGTTGCTCGAGCCAAGGATCCAGAAGCTGCCACCTTTGGAGAGGTCTTCCGGAGTTCTGAAAGCATGGAAAGCGTAGTAGGCCAGGTCTCGAGGTGGTCTTCTGGCCAAGGCAAAGCTTGCGTCGTGACGAGGATTATTCAGGGCTCTTGACGATTCGCTTGAGGATTGCGGCTTCCATGGAGCTGCCTGTTTTGGGCACCTTCTTACATCTTGCGGCTTGCGTTTCCACGCTCGGAAAGCCACGGAATGCGCAGGCCATTCTCTGGCCCAGTGCCAATGCCCAAGGAGCAGCAGAGAGTGAGGCAGGCTGCCGGGGTGTAGGCCGTGGGCCTCCGGTATGGTCATCATGTGATACACAATGATCATACAAGCTAAGCTCCACCTGAATGTTATCATGCTGATTGTTTAGAACCTTTCGAGCCACGATCGCGTTCCTCACCCAGCAAAGGCATGACACCTGCGCACAGTCTCACAGCCAGCAGGGACTTGATTCCTTTAGGATCATCTTCAAACTTCCAAATTACCAGTGAAAAGAAGGCCACTTAGTTCCGGGCAGGATGTCATCGTGAGTGGCAAGAGTCAAGAGCCGGTACCGCATGAACATGTACATTTACACGTAGCACTGCACTTGTTGCTGTCCCTCGTCTCCAGGTTCGAAAGGCCGGATATGAACATGCAAGGAGTGGGGTGAATTCCAAGCCGAAGCATACTGTGAGATCATAGAACAGAGCCAAAAACACTGATCTCAGAACCTCATGTCTCGTCTTCTTATTTGCTTTTGTCATAATATCGCCAGGGACCTCTCTTTACACGAAATTGCCAGGATGGAGTTTCCTGCTGAGGATGAGACCAGTGGAGGCCAATGTTTGGGGTTGGTCTGAAGGGCCCAGTCGCTGGTTTGGGTTCCGTGGAGTGGAGGTGCACTTCTTGAAGAAGTTCAACGTAGAGTTGGTCGTTGAGATGTTCCCAATTAATGCTCCACACCAACCTTGCGAAACACAGGCTCCCATGGTTTTTCTCCAAAACCTGGGTTCTGATCCAAGTACTCAGTACTGGCTCGAACCAACTCAGCTTGTCAGGCGTCGTGGAGTTGTGCTGGCCTGGGCCAGCATGGACGGACTTTCGAAAGGTGGTCGCCCTCAAGGCATAGGATACTTCAATTGGAATGCTGCGCAGCAGGGTTTCAGCATTCGCAGCTGATAGGTTTCGCGCGTGTTGGTCTCACGTATATGCGACACATGCGGCAGACAAAGTTCGAAACCCCTGTCAGAACCCAGCTGCTTGTTTGAATGGTCGCAAGGATGACATGGGTTTGCAGCAGTTTCTCTTGGTGGATCTGTGCTGGGTATCTCAATGGTGGCCTATGCAGTGCCCATTCAACATGTTCCAGCTGACCTGCTGGATGCCACCCGTTTCCGATCTCAGATCTGCCGTAATGATGTCTGAAAGAGCATCTGCAGCCTTTCCTGTCATCCCTGCCTCTGATACAGCCCTTGGGTGAGTTACATAGGACGCACAGATCAGGTGGTACAAACCCTTGACAAGCCCACCGACGTGAAAATCAGAGTAGAGTGAGCCTGAAAGAGACAGAGATGCCGGCAGGTGCTTCTGGCTTACCTGTGCCGCTTATCTCAAGTACGCTGGAGGTCGGATGACAGGGCAGGGGCATGGACTTGGGCTACTGCGAATGGGGGCAGCGGCCTTCTCCCTTTGCACGGCCCGAACTGCCGCAGATTTTGGTCTCTAAAATGCGTTGGTTCTAGTTTCAAGGAGGTCCAGCGAGGGTTCAGAATTGTGGGTAAGGTAGCGGGCTCTTTGGAGCCTCGCAAACGGGTGTTCTGCTAGCTGCTCAAGATGGCACGTGTTGTGGCCAGAGTGGCAATGGTGGTGATGCTTTCGGCGCCGCTCTGCTTCGTTGCATCTGGTCGCCTACATACAGCTCCAGTGATGTGGCAAAGGCCCTGCAGCAGCCGGCGCCAGCAAGTCCCCACATCCTCCGCGTTGTCTGTTGCCGCCGTTGTGGGAGCAGCGTTCCTGAAAAAGGAGACGGGCCAACATGGAAACGGTTCACAAATTCTGCGAGCCACGACGCGAGCTATAGTCCCAAGTCTGCGGTGGCTAAAGGCTGGACTTCGAGGCTGCGACCTGAAACCCGGCGAATTGAGGGCTTACGCAGTTGCTGGATGCGACATGTGCATCGGGAAGACGCAAGATGGAAAGCTCTTCGCAGTTGGGGACAAAGTCCTTCCTAGCGGCAGCGGCACATCTTTAAGTGTCGCTGCTAAGGTTCGGGGAGGTAAGATCTGGGATGGACGCTTCGGAAGTGCCTTCGATTGCTTCACTGGTCAGCCAGAAGGGAACTGGTGCTCTGCGCTGCCGCGGATTGGCAAGTTCATTGCCAGGATCCTTCGGCAGAGGGAGGCCCTTCAAACCTTCGAGATTCGGGAGACGTGCCGCTCCGGTGACATTGAGGTCATGGTGGACACCATCGCAAGTTCAGCTTACAAAAGCTGGTGCTGGAAGGGATGGCCGAAAGCCGATGCAGATTATGATGATGGAAACTCCAATTACGTTGTACAGGGCGCGCCATGCGGTAGGTGGTGTACGCCAGATTACTTGAGCGTTTTTCTTTAACAACGTGGTTTGTTGCAATCGTGACCTGCATATGACGTTTATTACGCATATCACACGAAGAAGTACACTCACATCAACAAAGCACTCGATAGCCATGCAACAAAGCTTAAACACGCATACCCACACCTGCAATCGAGGTAGTGGACCTGAGCGTGGGCTCAGCGCTGCCATGCGCATGCATTCTGCATGGAGTTTGCGCACCTGATGTGCGAATTGGCCACTTAAGTTTTGACTCGCAGCTGCCGTGCGTGAAGTTGTAAACTGTAATCACACGGCATGTGACAGCAACACGATATGTGCGATCACAATGTCCGCACAAGTAGGATGCCAAGTACGCTGAGGCCGATCAGGCTTCAGACTTGCCTGTTCTGAAAGGGACGAGGGGCCATGATCTCATGTAAAAAATCAGCTCCATGCTTCCATTCGTCATGTTTTGTCTTCTGTCTCGCAGCGAAGTTACGAGAATGGTTCGCTGTAGAAGCTTGACTCAGCATGGCATCATAGCGGGTTTTCTTATGCGTGTAAGTTTCATCGTACAGAGACGCCTTTGTTGTACAAGCCTGCGTCGTTTGCACAGTGATGTGCACACTTGGGCTCGTTGACTTGGTTTGATTTGATCTGACGTCCGGAAACCTCTCGCACTGCCGAGGTGAGGATTCGATTTCGCCGCTGCGGAAAGCACTGGTTGAAACGGTTCCTGAGATCGCCATTCAAGATGAGGGCTGCAGAGGTGAGGTCTGAAAGGCTTGGCTTTAAGGCTTTTTGGCTTTAAGCTTACGCACCGCCTAGGGCCTTAGGCAAGGGTTTTGGGGATACTGCGATGCTGTCGCAGGCATGGCATGGCATGCAGTCCCTGAAGTTTGTTTGGTCTTATACTTCGTGGGCGGCATCTTTCTAAGGTCACCAAGCATGCGATAGGCATGCGCTCTCCCCCTTGCAACAACGCACTGTGTCATGACATTCCCTCGCAGCACACAATCGACTCTCCTCAGGTGCCCCCACTTTGCGGCAAAATTTCTGAGGGCCTGCACGATTACAAGCAGGAGGGAAGCATTGTTCGATGCGGATTTGACTTTGCTGTCAGCTGATCAACTCGCGCTTGTACGTATTGACATGGCGTGAGAACCACTGCAGCCTCGAAGCTTGCTTTGCGAGGGAAGCCCGAGCCTGTGCATGGGCAGGTCGGATAAGGTGTGATGACAGTGTGATGTTGAGAGGTAGGGAAGGAGAGAGGGATGCAGGGAGAGGGCGTGTGCGTGCTCAAGGAGCTCATCAACATCACTTTGGACAGCTGCGACGTGGAGCAGCTTTCGAAACGCGATGTCACGGCAGAGGCTAGGCCCTACTTCCTGGAGCTGCAAGATGCTCCAAACATGCTCATAGCTGCAGCTGTGAGAGACCAGAGCGAATCCCGGAGACAAAGTCTGTTACTCCGTTAGGTCCAAGCTGTCTTCACTGCAACAGCGGCCGAAGACGGATCGGGAATTGATGTCGCATCCTGCCTGTTTTAGCACTGGGATCAGGTTGAGGCCAATTGGCAAGCAGCAGGTTGCAGGTTGCGGCGACCGCATGTCATTGCTGGAGGGTCCACGGCAGCTGTGACCGATTGGTCAGTGGATCCAAGCCGGGTCGAGTCTAGGGCGCTCAAACACTCTCAAAGACGAAAATACCTTATGTCTATCAGGGTGACTTTGCTTTCGTTTCAGTCTAGTGTTCCGATATGTGTTTTCGACCTGGCGTCTCAATGCTCTCAGAAAGAGACCACAAGCTGTCACAAGCTGTTAGTTGTGCTGAATTGAGTCTGCAAGGCCCGGATCCGCAGCGTGATCCGCCAGCAGCAGCGCCGTCACCTGTCCGCTGTGGAGTCGAATCCGCACGACCGATCGGTTGCCAGAAAAAGCATTCCACATGTTTGCAATTCTCGGGAAGACAACAGCCGTCATGATGTGGACCTTGCGCCGGATATGCGAGGGCATCATCCATGTTTCTCCACATTGAGTCATCAATATGCCTGCATTACATGCAGCCTCGTATACACGTACAACTACGCAGACGAACATGCCAATGAAAGCGTGAGGTTTCGCAGAGACCCGATGCACATACAGGCCATGCTGCAAGTGTAGGTGACTACGTGTTCACACACATGCATGCATATCGACATGTTCCGCATGAGGTTGCAAGCTGAACCAGTAACGGCACATAGTCAAGGGTTTTCTTCGACTTGTGCGGGCTGGTAGTGGCACGTAGTTATGCAGTGCAGTGAGGGGAGAATGCTGATACAGACTCTCGGGTCAGTGGTGGGTTTGGTAAGGGCCATTGTGGCAGCAATGATGCTGCGCATTCGTGAAGCGTCAACCATACTGCTGAGACGTCCGCGCCCAGAGATGCAGACCGAAGCCGCTTAAACGAGAGGATCTATTCAGCGGGGAGATCATCGGATCCTTTTGCTACGCACCGGCCTCGCTTGCTCGCTTACGGCATTTGTACATATCTGCGTGGCATGCAGAACGATGAAGCACTGCGCACGATTGCCTCCAAGTCTGTCCTTATCGCTTGCAGTCTGCTGTATTCTTGATCGGGGCCGTGATCTGCTTCTGTGCAAGCCTGAGCCTCTGTTTTTGCCAGGACTTTGCGCCGGGAGTTGCGGACAACAAGGGTGATTCAGCTGCTTGACTCGCGCCCAAAAACTGGTGTGACCATGTGAGACCGGACTCGGGTTTCCCACAAAAATCGGTCGTATCTGGGCCTCTAGGACTTCGAATCCTCGTTACCCATCAGTCTGGCGGAGACTACACCTCTTTTTTGTCTGTGGACACTTGTCATGATGACTCCGCGGGATTTGTTGGTTAGGAGCTGGCGGTCATGTGTGGTAGTTCGATTCATGCTCGCGAAGACGAGCAAGCTTCACAGATTCTTTCCCATGGTTTGATGGATTCAGGGGCTCTACGTTGCCCGTGAACTTGTCTCTACCAGTTCTCTCCTCCCGATTCATGCCAGTCCTATGCTCAGTTTCCCTTATCACTGCATGGTTAGTCCATGCTTGACCGTTGCCCGATTGGTTCCTATGTCGCGACGTCGAGCAAGAGCATGATCCATTCTGACATGCTGGGGCCGTCTCATCCTTGAAGCATGAGACGAGCAACCGAGCAGGTCAGTGCACACACGAACATTCCAGACAGCCCCGCTCGACCAATCAGCATCACCACAGTGAGCAACTGCGCTCCTCTTGGCCCAGGCCAGAAGGTTGGAAGCTCAAAAGGAACAGTAAACAGCAGTGAAACCTTATCGAATTCCCAGTCGCTTGCAAACCAAGGTTCGGGCCCGACTTGACGCGCCGGCAGCTCTCGAGGCCTCACGGTGCTTCGATTTGTCTTAGGTTTGTTTGAGGGGAAGTAAGGTACGATGTAGCTTGCTGCCAGCACATCGATCATCAGTACGCAGCTGGTTTTTCGGAATGCATGAAGGGACCCGTGCAAGTTTGAACTGTTAAGGCTATTGATGGTTCCAGCTCTCCTTGTTGATCAATGCTGCAACACTAGGAAGCAGGTCCTGTGGGCATGGTTTTGTAGCGATTGCAGTTGTGGATTGTCGATTTGCTGGTGCTGCTCTGTTCGTTCGATGTTCTACTTGTCCATACTGCTTAGAGTCAAGCTGTCCTGCTCCTGGCTGCTGCTATGCTTGTTGGGGAAGGGTGAATTGTAGAGTTCGAGTCACCGGCCTACTGAACGTGCTTTTCAGGCTCTCCTCGAGTGGAAGGCGAAAGACTGGGCGGCACTTTGCAAGGAGCTCATGTGCTTCGATACCTCCAGAGCGGGTATGAAATCCAGTTTTGAACCCTGTTTCGAGCCATTTCTTGAGTTGAGCGACACCATCGAACCTTTTTTCCGTCCAGAGGAGTTCCTCGTCTCTTCCTCCAACCCAGGCGGGATTGGAGCAGTTGGGGCCAGTTGGCCATCCTTCTCGCCTTCTTGCTTGGCTTTTGTCTTTTTGGGGTGCTGTAGGAGAAATCGGGATGCTCTGTCTGGGCGGAGAAGTGGGGATCTTCCCATCTGCCGTCTCGCAAGAGGGCCACTGCACACTCCAACCCCATGTGGGAGGCGTTACCGTTTGTGGCTTCCCCTCCAAGAAGTGTGGCGAGACGATACAATCGGAGGACGGGAGCACTTCCTCTTTAGTTCTCCAGCACTAGAGTCAGCTGAGCTTAGCCGAAGAGACGAAAATAGGTGCAGTAACGTTGTATGAACCGCAGTAAACGTATCTGGCTAGGCGGGACTCTTTTCAACCTCCTCGGACATGGGAAGCTGAGACCCGCACCTTTCCACGAGCGAAGGACGCTGCACGCATCGAAGCTCAGAAGAAGGCGCTTGGTGAGGACGACTCGGCAGAATGTGTTGAAGACCCTGCAAACTGTTTTCCGGTATTTCGGATAGTTCCCCGCAGCGCGGCATGCGCGGACTCAGCTTGTCGGGGTTTTCCGCCACCACAATGCCTCTCCATCCATCGACAAATTCTTATTCCTGGTGTTATCATTCCCGAAAGCATCGCGAAGGGTTCTTCCGTGCGGAGCCTCGCAGAGAAAATACATAGAGAATACGTGGAGTCAAGTACACTTGACTTTACCACACTTGACTCTACGACACTTAGCTTTACCACACTTGA